ATATATATATATATATATATATATGAATGAGTATCAGATGTGTACTCTGCATTGCTAAGCCATAAAAGGAAACTGTGCAACATGCTACAAATGATGAGCCGTGAGGCAGAATAAAATAAACCAGTCAGAAGAACCATGTGCTTCCACTCATGTGAGGTTCTGGAGTGGTCAGACTCATAGATGCAGGAGATAGAATGGGTGCCTGGGGAGGAGTTGGGGAGTTGCATAGTGAGGACAAGATTTTACTTTGGAATGATGACAATGTTCTGGAATGAGCATAATGACAGCGAGTTTAATGCCACTTAATACAATTGGTACAATGGCCAGGAGTGGTGGCACTAACCTTTAATCCTAGCACTTGGGAGACAGAAGCAGGCAGATCTCCGTGAGTTCAGGCCAGCCTGGTCTACAAAGGGAGTTTCAGGACAGCCAGGGCTACACAGAGAAGCCCTGTCTTGAAAACAAACAACAAACAAAGTGGTTTCAATGGAGCCTGTAACCCCAGCACTGAAGGGGTGGAGGCAGGAGTTCAAAGCCCCCATCTGCCACAAAACACTGTCTTAAAACAAACTAAAAAAAAAAAATGATTACAACAGTAAATGTTGGGTGTACTTTAAGGGAAAAAACTCTCAAAGTTAGCCTTGAACTTTCACCAATCCTCCTGCCTCAGACTTCCAAATTAAAGTGCTGGGATAACAGGTACACACCACACAGACCTCATCACCAGTGGGAAAGCGAGTGAAGGAGGCCCCAGCTGTGCTTTTTACTGTACACATAGAGCACTCCTTTGACTTTGCTGGGCATGTGTTACGTTTTCAATTAAGAATCATTTAAGGGCTGGAGAGATGGCTCAGTGGTTAAGAGCACTGCCTGCTCTTCCAAAGGTCCTGAGTTCAATTCCCGGCAACCACATGGTGGCTCACAACCATCTGTAATGAGGTCTGGTGCCCTCTTCTGGCCTGCAGGCATTCACACAGAATATTGTATACATAATAAATAAATAAATATAAAAAAAAAGAATCATTTAAAATGATTAAGATGGTAAATGTTGTATTTCATGTATTTTACTCCTGTTGCAAACACTGAGGATGTGAGATGTGTGTGGTAGGGTGGGTTCTGTGTCAGAGGTGAGTGGGGAAGAGCTCAGAGAGATGTAGGGAGAGGTGGCTGGAAAGGGGCATGAGCAACATATCTCACGGCCTTTGTTCGTGGCCCCTCGGCTGTCTCCTCTGCTCTCCTCAAGAGGTACGGTGAGACTGCTAAGGCCTCCCCATCCTATCGGTGGGACATCATGGCTGCCCCCATCCCCCCTGTGTGTGCCAGGAGGCTCTCTTTGGGCAGGTACAGCTCTGAGTCACTCCTCAGGGCCACCTCTCATGTTGGATCTTTCCCTAGATATCGAATCTTCTAATGCATGCTGCTGCCCAGGATCCCTTTCAGGCCCCTCCAGTACACAGGACATGCTCCCGCTTTCTTCACTAGGACTGGGCTCTGTCCAGTGACCGCCTGTTCCTGTGAGTTGATCTCCCCACATGCCACTATAGACTGGGTCTCCAGGAGACAGCTGCGTTGTAGATGGGGAACCAGGAGCCTCAGGTCTCCCTGCATGCTGTCAGGCTGTGGACAGTTCTCACCTGCCCTCATTGGCTCTGTTGCTCTGTCCAAGGAAATGTGGTGACACCGAGCGGTCTAAGAGTGTGCGTGCCCATATACAGGCCTGCACAAGTTAGGCCAAGCTTCTGAGTCTGTATGGTGCTGAAAATGAGCAGGAGCTCTTGTGCTACTGACATCTTTGACCTGCAACGGAGCCAGTCCCGGCTCCCCCTAGCCAGCATCGGAGAGTCCGTAGATGGGCAAGGACAGCATGGATACTGGGCTGCAAGTGAAGCTTGGGGGATAAAACTCAAAAAGATTGTTCCCTCGCCCTGCTGGGCTGCCCAGGCACTCCAGAGCATGTCCAGCCAGAGAAGAGGTGTGGTGGCAAGGGACCAGCTCACCTGGCTCACTTGCTTCTTCTATTCTGTACTGTCCTAAGGGTGTTGACAGGGGGCGCCAGCATCCCCAACTTCCTATGAAGGGCCTTGTGTCTTAGGCCCTGTCAGTAAGTGCAGTCCTCAGTCACAGGTGAGCATCTGAGGACCAGGTGACACCACCCTACCCTGTCCCTCTCCACCTTTGTGCCCAACCCTGACCCCCAGCCATTACGGGGCCACCTCTTGCCACAGGGCATATACTGACTCAGAACCAAAAGTAATCAGAGGGCTGGGGTCTGTAAGACTTGCTGGAGTAGGCAGCTGCTGGACAAGCTACATGATATGGGGGACGGTGGTCAGCCCTTGCTTCCCCTTCACTCCTGACCTCCTCTCCCATGTGTAAGCAGCAAAATGGCCTAGATGATCTACCCCCACCCCCTAGGGCGCCCCTCTTGTGGACATGCTCCCGTCACCTCAGACTTGTGGCTGGAGCAGGGCCCCACATTCTTAACCTCCAGGCGCCCCTGGGTCTCAAAGGGAAGCAGCAGTTCAGCCCAGGGCCCTAGCCTCCTGGTTTCTGCAGGAGCCCACCCGGAAAGCACTGGTCGTGAACAATGCCTGCGTGTGACGGGCTTTCCCTCTGTGAGAGAAAATAGTTCCATAGAATGGCAGTTTCCTGCATTTGTGCCTGGGTCTTAAGGGGTGACTCATGCTTAGACCTCCCAGAAAGAGATGGCCCCAGAGCCCCTCCCCACCCCCGGCTCTGCGGCAGGGCAGGAGTCCATCTCTCCTTGTGGCCCCTGCCCTCTTGGGCTTTGGGTCCCATCCCAGCAGCAGGCATCACCTGGGCTAGCAGATGACATGGAGCTTCTTATTGGAAGCCTAGATTCAAGTGCCAAGAGCTGGATGGAACCAGTGAGGGAGATGCAGATAGATTACCAGGGACCAGAGGAAGAGAGGCCACTGTTCTTTGGATAGGGCCCTGTGATGAGGACTGGCTACTGTCTGTGTGACAGAGAATAAGGAGGGTGGGTCATAGGGGTGTGGACATCCCCCGGCATGAGAAGGGTGAACAGTGGCAGCCAGTTAGGATCCCATGAAGGGTCAAGTCACTATGAGTGGCTTGTAGTCCTGAGAGACCTAGGTATAGTAAGTACAGCTTTGGGAGAGCTGGCAGATACCCCAACCTGGGGCCATGCAGGGGAGTCTTTTCAGACCAGAACTGTGAAGACAGAGCAAGTAAGGGTACCTGGCTCTTCCAGCCTACAGCTGACACTGGGCAGCACACCTTACCTCCCGGCATACCAATATGCTCTAGGAGACCACTCTCCTGGTTCAGTCTTCAGCCCACCAGGCTGCCTTTCCAGGTCTGTTTCTAATGTAGTGTAGTCTGCAGGAGGGTAAGGGACTCATGCTGCCCACTTCGAGCCTATTGTCTCTGTCTGGCCAGTTCTACCTGACCACCTATCTCTTAGGTCCTCTGGAACCTCACATAGCCCTCCCTTTCTTCCTTTTTTTTTTTTTTTTAAAAAAAAGACAGTTATTATGTATACAGTGTTCTGCCAGAACACATACCTGCACACCAGAAGAGGGCACCAAATTTTTTTTTCATTACAGATGGTTGTGAACCACCATGTGGTTGCTGGGAATTGAACTCAGGACTGCTCTGGAAGAGCAACCCTGAGCCATCTCTCCAATTTCCAATTCTTGCCTTCTCCCAGGAGCACCACGGTACTCAGAAATGACGGTCCCAGCCTCTTCTGGGCTGGTCCCATGTCATGCTATTGCCACTCTCATTTCCAAAGTCCCTGATTCAGGCAGGGCTCACCCTACCCTCTCCTAAATGCACATCTTGACTTAACCTGAAGGAACAAAGAAGGTTTAAGCTCAGGCCTAACTGCTTCCCTCTCCCAGACCTTGTGACCTCTGGCTGCTCACGGGTTTCCATACCTAGAGGACCCCGGCCTCTGAGAGTGCCTGCTGCTTTTGAAGGGCCACTAGGCTCTGTCCTGTGGGATGCTGTCCGCCCATTCCTTCTTTCGTCAGCACAAACTTCACATCATGGCTAGAGAGACTCAACAGACAAGACATGCCCAAGAGGCAAGGAGCTGGTTGGATGCCCATCAACTCACCTAGAACATTCTTGGCCTCACTCTGCATTGAGGTGAGTGCAGGGAATCTCTTCTCAACCCAGGGAAGCCTGATATCCCCAGCCACTTAGTTTGTGATATCCTAGCATCCAGGACAGGTTCAGGTACTCTGACTTTCTGTACAGAAGGGCAGCTCTGCCCACTTGCCTAAGCCTTTTATTGCCAACTCCTTGTATGTAATCTGAAGTATCTGCATGATATCCCAGTTTTTGACTGGGAAGGGCAAGAACTGTTTTGCTCTATATTAGGTGGTCCTGGGTAGCTGGGTAAGCACCGCGGTGGACTGTGGACCAGAGGGCGGGTCCCCACAATGCTCAGGTGAGCAAAAAGAGGACTCACACAGTCCATGCCACAGTTGAGTCCCAATGATTATTCCTGAGGGGAGGCAATGGGAATGGAGTTTACACGTCCGGACATGAGTTCCATCCAAAATGGCGGTTCTTCTCTGAGCCGGTGACCTGTGGCCGCGATCAGGAGGAGGCACAGACCTAAAAAAGGCACCGCAGTCTGGGGACGTTCCTCGGCCCCTCCCCCAGCTCTATAGGATCTGATCTCACAAACCCAGCCCCCACAACCGCTTCTCCAGGAGACATTCCGGCTCTCTCACCCACCCAACAGGTCTCGGACGGAGACGAGCCCCCGAGACAGGACCCCAGGCCAGGCGGGCCTCCGAATCTTGGTTTCCTGCCACCCGCACCCTGCTCGGTCCTGCAGGAAGTGGCCGCCTCCTGAACAAAGGGGCCGGCGGACAATGGCCATTGAATTGGGCTGGGGAGCTCGTGCGGAGACAGGCCGCCAGCTGCCTGCGCTGATAAGACCCTGCACGCCGGGCCCAGTAGGACGCGGAGCGCCGCGCGCGTCCGTCCCCTCCGTGCACCTCCACCGTAACCCACAGAAGCCGAGCGCGGCGAGAAGCCCAAGGCTCGCGGTGGCCTGCGCGTGGGTGGCTGGCTGGGGACCAATGGGGAGTCGGCGAGCCCCGCTTTCAGACCAATCTCGGGAGCGCGCGGGGCAACAGAGCCAGGCACTGCACACAGCTCGGAACCGCCCCTTCTGGCTCCGCCCTTACGGCAGCTAGCGTGCTACTTCTCCGTTGCTGCATAAGACCGCTAAGCAGCGGTCCTGTGAGGCTCTTGAGAGTTGGTGTGACGTTTTGATGGTTTTTTTTTCCTCCCAAAGCCTCAGAAGTAATCCGTGATGATGCTGGGAAACGTCCTCGCAGGGCTACGCTTCCTTCGCATTATTTTGGGTGCATGGATGCCTGCGTGGCAGGCATGTAAATATCGTCTGGTTTTCTGCGAGGGTTGAGGTGCTGGATGGAGGCTGGCTGTGCGGACTGCCTAGACTCCACCAATATGCGCACAGCAGGGGAACATCTGCTCCAGACAGACACCTCCATTGTCTTGACCTTTACCCTCAACGTGAAGATAGGGACATATCATGAGCCAGGCCAGATTCCTCCTACTGGTGACATTGAGGATTATTCAACAGATAGACGTTGTGCACCCTCTGGGACCATATCTGGATAACTCCTTGGGTCTCCTGCTCCGGAGGCCTGAATGGCTCACACTGGAGCCAACTCCAGAGAGGAGGAAAGTTGAGACTGCATTTTTCCAAGTCCCTAAGTCCCCACCACCGTAACCTGGGGTGGCTCAGTGGGAGCCCACAGAGCTGTGATTACTTTAACTACCAGGCAGGCATCTGTTGTAGCTGTCAGAATGAGAGAGCCATGGGGGAAGGACAGGAAATGGCAGGAGTAGGGGCAAAGTCTGTAAGTCTGTGGAAACTGAGACAGACCTCTCTATTCCTGGTCAGAGTGAGATGGCCCCGGTCATTTCCAGTCTTGGCAGACCCTGAGCAGATGGAGAAGGGAAGGGTCTGCTTCCCTTGGCACTGTACTGCTCACAGCACTTCCTGCTTCGGCTCCATGACCAAGCAGCCCCTCCCCCAACAGGTTCAGGCCTACTGGCAGGTTTCCCTCCTACCCAGACCCTAAACTGGGGAGGGCAGAATGCAGCGGGTGGGGACAGAGGAACCTTCAAAGACTGCTGAAGCCCTCAGCTCTAGTGGAAGAGAATAAGGAAGGCTTTTTTGCAGAAGAGATGCAACAGCAGCAACGATGTAGACTGGGGTCAGGGAAGAGCCAGGTGGGGAAAGGGTGGCACAAGGGAGTGGCACAAGGGTGTCAGAGTGCTAGTGGGCTTGATGAGACACCCTTAGCCCATCTGCACTACTTCTTGCACTGTTTGAGACCATTATGTTGGCAGCCCTGGTGAGGCCAGCCCTGTGAGGGAGCATGCCCATGTATGTGGTGACCACTTGCCAGAGCCCCAGGAGTTGGTGCAAGTGACTAAGACTGTAGTGCCTGGAAGACAATCAGGTGTGTGGCCCTGCTAAAGCAAGGGTCAGGCTAAGCAGTCCCTCTGTGACTCTGTTGGTGGACAGGCTGAGTGGTCGTCACCATAGCATGGCAGAGTGCTGCACTCATTGGGCAGCACTGAGACACCACCACAGGCTTTTGGGTGAGGCTCTCAGGAAAAAACATCTGGTGTCACATCAAAGACTCGATGAGTATGTCGTTCCCGGGAGTGCCCCATCTCCTGGGTGCCTGTGCACGCCTGACGTAGCCTGCTTAGGTTGATACACCTGTTACACTTTTTTGCATCTTGGCCTAGCATTGCCCACCTTCAGCTTTCACTGCCTCGAAGGTCCTTCTCCGAGCAGTTGCGTGAGATACCTTGTACCCACAAGGTCATTTCTTGCCACACTGTCCAAAGGCGCAGTTAGACAAGCCATGGGACAAATGTGTCTTGTGTTGTGAGCCATCCAGGCCAGGCTGTGGACACCTGGGCCTGCAAAGGCAGATGTCTGCGGGTCTCCTGGCCTTACCACTCAGTCTTCAGGAAGTGGGAAGCCCTTGGCTTCCAACCCTGCCCTTTATCAGCCTTCATGGCTTCCTGCTGTAAAAGTGGCCTGCTCCCCCACCTTGGCGCCAGGACGTCGGGTCAGTGGTGACTCACCCAGCGCCCAGCGTGAGGACGCCTTGGCCCTATGTCCTTCTGCCTACCTTCACAGCACTTGTGCCTAGCCATTAGGTCTCACAGCAAGCTGGCTTCTTCTCCAAGAGCCTCACAACAGGGCACACCTCTGTTTCTGGGCCATGAGCTTGTCTCTGCTGAGTTACTTCACTCTGCAAAAAGTGACACCCCAATCTCTGTGCACCTCTTACACACAGATACAGCATACCCACCCATGCTGTTCCTTGTCATGGGTCCTGCCTACACCTCCCCACACCCTATGTCTTCATCAGTCTTACCCTTACATGCTCTGTTGCCACCCAGGCGCCAAGTATGTGGAGACCTGCCTCTTCTAGATACTCAAGACTTTGTGCCCTGTTTGGGCATGGCTCTGGGAAGATGTGCCAGTATAACTGATATACATTTCCCACCCTAGGGCCTCAGGAAGGCTCTCCAAGTCCCTTTCCACCCTGAGTGCCTGCATTTCATGTGCTTGCCTCTGAGCATTAGTGAACTGTTAGCAGAACCCTGAGGTATGTTACCCCCCTCTTCACCACAGTGCACCCTTGAGTAGACATTCCAGGATCTGCTGTGTGTAAAGATGAGAGCTGGAGTCGGGGAGACCAGAGTGCCCTTGGCCCTTACATCCAGAAGGCTGGTGGAAAAGTGGGGAAGGATAGGCTGTTTGGGTGGGTTCTTGCTTACAGGGAAACACTGCTCTCCTTTGCACAGGGCTTGTGTTAACCATCAAGTCCCTTGCCTATGAGGTCTGTAATCCAGCCCTCAGGGCTTTTTGGCTCTGCCTGCTGATCCTGAGTGGAGGTGTGATGGCTAGTTGGTAATGTGACACAAATCATTTGACTGAGGAATTGCTGCCACAGATTTGGCCTGTGAGCATGTCTGTAGGGCATTTTCTTGATTGATGTTTGATGTGGGAAGGCCCAACCCATTGTGGGCCATGGCATCTCTGGGAAAATGGTACTGAGTTGTCTAAGCAAGCAAGCTGAACAAACTTTGGAGAGCAAAATAGTAAGCAGTATTCCCTCATAGTTCCTGCCCTGACTTCCTTCAATGATGAACTATGATCAGGACATGTAAGCCGCATGAACCCTTTCCCTCTTCCTAAGATGGGTTTGCTCAGCATTTTAAAATGACAGCAACAGACCGCAGAGATGGCTCAGCAGTTCAGCAGTTGTTGCTCTTACAGAGGACTTGGTTCGCTCTTGGGCAGCCATGTGGTTCACAGCAATCTGAAGTCATGTTCAGTTATCTGACTGATACCCTTTACTGACCTCAGCAGGCACCAAGCATACATATACCAGGCAAAACACTCCCTCATGAAATAAATCTAATGAAAAATTTTAACAACTCACAGCAAGAGGAAGCAAACTAAGACAGAAGTGTAACCCCATGTTCCTCCAGCCTCGACAGCCTGTGAGCAGCCTGAGCCCGCGACAATGCCCCCAATCCAACTTCTCAATCGGAGTCACTGTCAATGGGCTGGGCAATCTTGCTCTTGAACTGCAGTTTGTCTGGGGGCCCACCTACCAGGGATGTCTTCCAGAAGCCCTCCACAGGCTGCTGAGCCTGATTCCACCTCATCATCCTAGATTCTTCTGTCCAGAGACCTCTACCTTGTAGGCCCCTGAACATAGCCCCTACCAGAACCCATTTCCCCACACATCCCTGTGAGCCCTCTGTCGTAGTCCGTACTCTTCCACCCCACATCCTGTGCTCCTCCAGCTCTCCAGGTACATTCCGTTCCCACCAGCCACAGCCATTTTGGGAATAGAGGAAGGCCAGCATGCTAGTCTGCTCAGGTCCTGCCTAGATGTCCAGCATGGCTCCACTGCTCCTCTGCAAACAGTGTCATCCTATAGCCTATGCTGGCCCTGAACTTAAATTGATCCTATCTCAGCTTCTAGAGCTTTGCCACCCCACCAGTTTGCTTGCTAGATCCTCAGTTGTCAATGGAGAGCTACATTGTGGTCTAATCTTTCCCACAAGCAGCCTTGTGGGAATGCCTGAAGGAGAGGCCTGGCTGTTCCCTGCTGTGCCACTGGCTTTACTCTGAGGCACTGTCAGTATCTGCTCAGTGAGTAACTCACAAATGACTGAGAAACGTATTTCAAGCCTTCTTGTGTTTGTGTGGTTCGAGTGACTATTCTGGTCCAAGTCCTGTGGGAGATGGAGTTTCTGGGGCCTCGGAGTGCCCTGAGTAGCTTATTCCAGCCTCTCGGCTGAGGGACATAGTCACTGAAGTGAGAGTGTGTGCCCGTGACACAGGGGCAAGACCTGATGAACCCTCCAGTCACCTGCTTTCCATTACTTTTGTTTTGTTTTTGTGACAGGGTTTCTCTGTGTAGTCCTGGCTGTACTGGAGCTTACTCTGTAGACCAGGCTGGCCTCAAACTCACAGAGATCTGCCTGCCTCTGTGTCGAGGGCTGGGGTTAAAGGCATGCGCCACCATTGCCTGACCCGTTGCTCATTTTTACTTCCAGTTGGAGTCCACTGCTCTCCTATGGAGTGAGCTTGTCTGCAGGTAATGAGAGCATTGGTGCCTGGCTCCCCAGGAATTAGAGGTAGCTCAAAGTAGTGGAGATCACCAGTCCTCTCGGGCTCAGCAAGCGCTCCTTTGAGTGCTTAAAGGTGATGAACATCACCTCAGCAAGCCTATGCCACTTCTAAAACAGGCACTCAAGACAGCATGCTGATTCTGTTTAACCTCCATTCACTGTGTCATCAGGCAGGCCAAAATTTCCCCAGGCTGTGCTGAGGCAGGTGTCTGGCTGATTGCCATTCACGACCTTCATATTGGGGAAAGAAGTTACACCATATGGCACAGTGGACACTGCCTTCAGCTCACCAGGCTTAACCTACTCTCTATAGACATCCCCAATCTCTGCCCAAGCTGGGACCTCCTGGGCCTGCCAGACCTCTGCCTGAGCAGCAGGGCTGGTCTGGGAGCTCAGCTTTGCTGCCCAGGTGCCAGTAACACCCTCTCCACTATGCTGCTTTCATTGGGCTGGGATGCAAGGTGCATTAAAACCCTCTGGAGATGTTTTGGGAGCACACCAAGAGTATGACAGAATGAGGTTCAGGACAGGCTAGACCCAAGGTCAGGCTGAGGAGTGAAAGTGAGTGATGGTTGAAATGGGTTGGGTCCCACCAGCTTGGGGCGACTGCCATCATGGGTCTTAGCCAGGTCCATTGTTTGAGTACAATAGCTCTCCTGATTTAGGTTCCTCTCCCAACAGGAAAATTATAAAATCTGCTCACTACTACTGCCCACAGTCCCTTGAAGGTCTGGGTACCTTGAAGGTAAGGTCAGCTTGGAACCTGACTTTAACCCTTTCCAGTCTGGTAGAGCCCAAGCACCCTAGGGACCAGCCATCTCTCCAGGCATATAGCTCAGGGTATAAACACGGGTTCTGATCATCAAGGAAACAGTGGCCCACCTAATAGAGCTCAGTGACATGCAGAGGCTGAGCACCTCCCCGACCCCCCACTGCCTAAGAGCCCTTCCTGAAACCCCTTATGGGCTGGAGACACTTACCTGCATAGTTTACTCAGAATAGGATAGCACCCCCCCCCCCCGCCATCACAAGCACTTTACCTAAAGCTGAGTTGATACCTCAGGGTCCCCTAAGAGGTCAAGGCACTTTTGCAGAGTGACTGAGTCCTTTAAATGGGACAGATAAGGGTAAGAGGATGCTGGCTGTATAATCAGTACCTTAAGTGTAAGGAGGCCTTGGAGGTGTGCTGCTGCAGGAGCTGTGTGCCAGCCCACATCCCTGCCAGTCCCCTAAGCTTAGCTGGTTCTGAGTCACCCCTATTTGTTGGATTGCAGAGTAGGGAGTGGGTTCAGTGAGAGGGCCAGTCAACTGTATCACCCAAGCAGTGAAAACACCCCAGGTCAGCTTTGATGGCTAAAAGTATGTCCAGCAAAGTCCTTCAAGAAACAGTGCTGCAAGCAGCCACCAGAGGGGGCAGCTCAAGCCAATCACTAGGCTTGTGGACAAGTACAGTACTCCATCCAATTCACCAGCAAACAGTTATGTACCTGCAGGTTCTGTATCTCCGAGGCTCAGTCTCCTAGGTGGCTTCTCCTCCACTTACTGTGCGCCTACTTCTGCCCAGCTGGCCTGACATGTGCTTCTAGCTCACTTGTCCTACTGTTTCCCCACTCCCATCTGGGGTTTACTGGGTCAGGACAGTGTAAGCAAAGGGCTTGGTGGCTGTGTGTTCCCCACAAAGCAATGGTAATGAATAACTCCACCTAGCTCAAGACCACCAGAGGCGGCTCAGGTAACTACTATCTCGAGAAAGTACACACTCTCATGAGTGATCAAACTCATGCTTGCCTACCTCCAGGGCAAGGCACACAACCTTATAGGTCATGTGGGGAGCCCAGTCCTGACAGGGATAAGTAAACTTACAGCACCTCAGGAAGCAGGCTACCTCCTCCAAAGTGCTCCCAAGGCTTTCTTGGAGTAAGCCTGTTGTTCTTGGCTAGGCCCCTGTACTCTTAGAGGCTGTTAAGATAGGTGCAGAGGCCATGCAAGCTTCAAAGGAGGCTGCAGAAGGTGCAGAGAATAGAAGAACAGGAAGGAAGCCTCAGAAGGTAATGGTGGGGACACTCAACAGACATCACCATTGCCATATGCAACACCAAGCTGTATTGCATACATCACCACCCTGGGTACAGCCATCAGGGGACCTCTTACTCGTGGGGTATGGAGAAACTTGGTCCCTCCACCTCAGCAGAGTAACAGAAATGGGTTGGACTAGGAAGAAGTCAAGCAGGTGTTTTGCTCCAATGATCACAGAGCTTCCTCTGTGTCCAGAAGGGGCCCAAGATTTCAGTCACTGCCACAGGCTTGCCTGAAAAGTGTTACATCCAAGGCTTCAGAGTCTATATGCTCCAAGGAGGGGCAAATGAAGTCAGACACCCCTATCTACACTGACTTAGGATATTCAATTCCAGTTAGAGTGTGCCCAGAGCTTGCAAGGGTTGCAGAGGGGTTGTGGGACTGCAGGGCTGGTGGCCTACATCATGCTCTGGCTCCAGTAAGCCAGTGGATCTCTTCTCTAAATCAAGTCCTTCCAGGGATGGCCCAGGCTTGGTTCCCTAGACTGGAAGGACTCTCAAGAAACCACCCTGCTGGGCCGTGTTGGCTCACGCCTTTAATCCCAGCACTCAGGAGGCAGAGGCAGGCAGATTTCTGAGTCTGAGGCTAGCCTGGTCTACAGAGCGAGTTCCAGGACAGCCCTGCCTCAACAAAACAAGAACAACAAAAATTCCACAAAAACAAATAGCAACAACAAAAAACCCAAACCCAGAACCATACTACCAACAACAAAAAGAAGCCACCCTAGACCCACCAGTTCTAGTTACTGTCTGTAACACCATGGGCCAGTGCTTCCAACTCAGCCTAAACTGCTTAGCAGAGAGCAATAAGAACCCAGGTTATCCACCATGCAGGCAGCAGCGTGTAGAGGGTACAAAGCAGCCACTCTCAGACCCTCTTTCTTAACTTAGTCCCTATTCTATGTCTCTAAGAAGGGAGGACGAGGAATGCTGGGTCTAACAGGTGTTCCTAAGATGCATGGACCCCACTCCCTCATTAGCAACACCCATTAAGGCCCTGCTTCTTTGGCCTCTGGAGTTTCTTGTAGGCTCCCTATCATCTAGCAAAGCATCTGGTGATAGCTACTTTAACCACAGAGGCAAAAATCAGAGGATGGCAAATATCCATTTAGCTGAACCCATGGCCAAATTACGTGTGGGAGAGGAATGGACCCCTACTGTGGCTGGAGCGAGGGCAAGGTGTGCATGTTCCCTGGGTCATGGACAGGTACCAAGGATACGACCAAAGGAGGTGATATGGTCAGAGCTCACTTTCCACCTTCTAACTAGGTATAAAAGGAGTGCCCCACCCCCACAGGGCTTATTTTACTCCTGCTCCAGTAGGTATACAGTTGGGAAAGGCAGCTGGATAGGAAATTGGGGTCCAGGGTAGGCTGCACAAGCTCCTTCTGGGCCCAATAGCTCTGGATGGAAGAACTACAAGTGGGGCAGCTCCACCCTGTCCTCCACTGCTGACCTCTCTCACTCTGTGGCCCCACTCCTACAAGCAGTCCCCAGTGACCTCTAAAGACAAGCACACATTCTGCTAAGTTCAGATGTGCAGGGTTATCAGGAATCTTGCTAAGTGATACTGTCTTTCCCTGGTGATCACCAGCTTGCAAAGGACGGTGGTAACCACCAAGTACGAGGATCCTCAGTTCAGGTAGCTAGCAAGAAACTTGGGTAGCGCGGCCTGCAGGCTGCTTCCCCTACACTTCTCCCCCTCCCTCGCTGGAAGAAAGGCAGTAGGGGAGGATAAAAGAGGCAGAGAAAGTAGGACCTCCTGTCTAATCAGCACTCAAATGAGTAGACCAGACAGGATCCAAGTCTAGAACTCAATGGACTCCCCCTTCCCTCTCCTTCCCTCTTCTAAGATTCAATGTGGTGAGGCCTGGTTTTGTCCCAGGAGACTGCCTAAGGCACTGCTCTGCACTCTGGGAAGATCTGAGGCAAAGTGATCAATGTGGTAATCTCATTCAGAAAAGAGTAGAGAAATGGACCAAGTGTATGCAGAACAGGGTCACACAGACCCAATGCCTCCTTGAGCCTTACATTAATGCTGGTGGCAGCTCACACAAGGCTGTGGCCTCAGTCCAGAGGTACCCTTGCCCACTTCACAGATGCCCTCTACTGGGACCTACTCCTCAGTACCTGGGTCTCAACCATTTCAGGACCTCCCACTATGTTACTCACCCATCTTCTAGAGACAGTTCTCACTGTCCCTCTCCCTCTGTCCTGACTTTCTTCAACCCTCTCCTTAGTAGTGTGGGACTCAATCACTCCTTCCTGGCCCTTGTCCATTGTCCAGCCTCGACAACACCCTTCTTGCTGTCTCACAAGAGAAAAGGCACAGCTGGGGAGAGGCCTCAACTCCTGTTCCAGGGTACTTGTTTCTATCCCTTAAGTTCTTCTTTTTTTAAGATTTATTTATTATGTATATAACATTCTGCCTCCATGTATGCCTACACACCAGAAGAGGGCACCTGATCTCATTATAGATGGTTGTGAGCCACCATGTGGTTGCTGGGAATTGAACTCAGGACCTCTGGAAGAGCAGTCAGTGCTCTTAACCTCTGAGCCATCTCTCCAGACCTATTCCTGCAGTTCTTACCGACCACCTCTCATCCCTGTACTCTCTCCATGCCATAGGTAATCCTGTCACATGTAAGCACACACATACCCTAAAAGTACTCTGGACCAGTGTCATGGCTCCCTACCATGGTTCTGACCCGAGCCCCCACCCTAGGAAGGATCCTTGATTCCATAATTCCACACTCCACACTCCAAAAGTATTTTGCAATCTTCTCACCAAAATCACTCCATATCTGTCCCACCCATCTACTTTCACCAGCAGCACCCCCACACCTCATCATCTCAAGCCTGGTCCCCACCTCTTGATTTGAAACAGAGACCAGTACTCCGCCTCAGCCCAGATAGTGAAGACTCACATCTAGGGCTGCATCTAAGAAAGGGAGACCCGAGTTAAGTGCATTGAGGATAGTCCTGAGCCTTCTCATGAGGAAACAGCTTGAGGGCCTTCTTGACAGAACTCCACATAGGCTGTGCTGGACATTAGCAGGTGCGTATGGTCTCCAGGTTTTCACCTTCTGAGCGCTGCTGACGAACTTGATGAGTCCTATGCGAAAGGCTGAGGCCTGTAATGCTCCTGGTGGCTCCAGACAGTGAATGGACACCAGAGATGCAGAGCTCATGTTCGCTTCCGCAGGAAGCTGCGGCTGCAGTGAAAGGCAGGGGCTCCAGACTATGGCTGCTAACCATACAGCAGTAACTGCCACACATCTTCTGCCCAACACCTATCTGTCCAGGGTGTGAAGGGTGGGCAGAACACTGGCAGCAAGCTAAGACCAAGGTTCTACTTTGTAAGTAAAGCCCCTTTGTGCTTTGATCTCCTTATGACAGTAACACACAGAGCCAGTCTGAGGATTTCCGGAGAATCACTGACTAGTAGAGTATAAGCCTTGACCAGGCTGTTCTCTGATCATGTTTCATTAGACATAAACACACAGATGGTTTCCCTTGTTGGGCAAAAATATTCCTTACATTGCTCAAAACATGATTCCCAACAGTATGATGGGGCCCCCAATGTGGCCATGGAAAGAGAGCTTCAAATCAAGTGGGGCAGTGCTTGACTGGTTGAGTCCAGAAATCATGCCTGTGAGCCGTGTCCCAGGGCCCATCTGACCCCACATAAAACAGATATACTTGGAGTCCAGCACCAGGATGCTGCCTTGAGTTCTACTTAGTAGCCATCATCCTCATCACCATCACAGCCGTAATCTGTAAAACACAGAGGACAGTTGTCAAGGTCCAGGCAGTCCTCTGTTGCCACGAACACCACCTTCACCTTCCCAGCTCCCAGCCCCAATTTCATTGCCTTATCTCACAGGTCCCACCACCTGAAGGCCCACCACTTCAATCTATTCCCAGAAATCTTTGGGGCTGGTGGACTGGTAGGTCCCCTGTGTGCGGGCTTTGGGCACTGTAAACAGTATGGCCAACCCAGACATTTTTCTACTGGTGGAACAGTTCCCCCTTCTGACTTCCAACACGCCCAGAAACCTCATCTTCACAGTAGATGCCTCACCTTCCCTGTGGAGCTGGCCTTCTAGCCTTTGTTTAGCTCATTCTAGCATACTCAAGAGCCTCAGATCTATATGGACAAATCTAAGTGTCCTAGTTCCCTTCTTTGAGAAAGGACTTTAGTTTGTAGCCATAGGCTCATATTTGGAAATTACTTGGGTAGATGTTATATCTTTATTTCTCTGGATGCCCCTCAAAGTTCTTGTAGTGTGCCCATAGCCGTGTGGGCCCTACCCACCATTGCCACCCATCATCTGCAGAGCACTGACGCAAGGCTCTCCATCCTCTTCTTCAGCGTCCTCCTCATCTGCATCGTCGTCAGGATGGTAGGACACAGGGCCACTCTCCACTAAGACAGCTGATGGCTTGATGGGTTCAGTTCCCAGGGCAGGGGAACTTAAAAGCAAGGCCTGGAAAGAGAAGGCCTGTCTCTGGGACAGAAGCAGAGTATGTGCTGCCCTCCCGACTGTAAGGGACTCTCAGGCTTTCTCAGTATGGGCACAGGCACTCTTCAGAGCTCCTGCCCCACATCTGAGCTGGCCAGAGGATCAGTCTGCCCCCTAGTACCCACTAGTTCCTTCTGGCTTCCTCTGGGTCTATGAAGTCCTAGCCCTCCTTTCCCTAAAAGCTGTTATTAACCGAGGAAGGGAGGGCCCTATGACATGCAATCTAGCCTCTGCCCACACTAGTCCACAGTGGCAGTTAGCTTACCCTCAATCCCTGAGCAGCAGGCACATAGCTTGCCTGTACCATTGCCTGCTCACTTCCGTGACCCAGCCACTCTCATACCCTGAGCTTCAGTATTCTTTGCTGGAGCCAGGCCAGCGCTGGTGCAGAAACCAACTGGGCCTCGCCCTGCCAAGTCTAATAGCAACTTGAGTTCCTGAGGCCCTGCCCCAGCTGTGCAGGACAACATACCTCTCCCACAGCTGCCTTCTTAGCTGGCTGTGTAGACACCAGAGGCCTCAACCTGAAAGAAAGTATAAAAGCAGTCTCAGTTCAGGTAGATGTGGGAGAGGGGGTGAGTGTGTGTGCGTGTCTGTGTGTACCACACAGAGACTGAGGCCCTGTCCAGGAAGGCTCACAGTCCGTAGCCTCAGTTCATACCTGCCTGCTGACCATCACTGACTAGCAGGACTGAGGTTCTTGACCAGGCAGATGCATGGTCTTATAGCAGGTCCAGCTGCACTCTGGAGCCCAGCCTTGCCACTCCACAGGTATACCTTTCCAGAGACACACAACTTTCACTGCCTCTGCTACTATTGCACTTGTCTTACCCAAGTCTCTCTTCCTATCCTTAGGCCTCCTTCTGACCTTAGGTCTCACCTGTTCCTCAGTTTTACTACCTGGAATAGCACTGTTACTGTGTCCATCCTGATTTGACCTGCTGTCTTGAATTAATCAATGCCTGCCATCATTCTGTCATGGATGGGAGATATATAAACACAATATAAAAAAGCAAGTTCCAGCTGGATGGTGGCGGGGCATGCCTTTAATACCAGCACTCGGAATTTGAGGCCAGCCTGGTCTACAGAGTGAATTCCAGGACAGCCAGGGCTACACAGAGAAACCCTGACACCCCCAGAATTGGAAGATTCATCAGGTGTCTCCCTTTTAGGCTATGTAGTAGGCACCCCAAGGTCAAGGCACTGGACTATTTTTCTACTCCTTTGGACAGATATGTGAGGCCAGGGGCAGTGACTATGTGCAGATTCCATGACACCTTTCTTGGTCAATCTGTAACCAGGGGAAAATGAGAAAGAGGGATAGACAGTTATGAAGAAGAAAAAGAGGTGGACAAACCTACATCTGCCCCCACCTGCCTCTCAGAACCACCACATCACTTTTACCAACAGTAACTCCATCTTGGGACTGCCTTCAATGTCCCTAGGACTTCCAAACACAAAGGTACCTTTGACATCATGTCCACAAGGAACAGAAAGTGGGGAGGGGCCTGGAGAGATGGTTCAGAGGTTAAGAGCACTGGCTGCTCTTCCAGAGGTCCTGAGTTCAATTCCTAGCAACCACATGGTAGCTCACAACCATCTGTAATGAGATCTGGCGCCCTCTTCTGGCCTGCAGACAGAACACTGTATACATAATAAATAAATCTTAGAAACAAAGAAAAAAAGGAAGGAAGAAAGAAAGCAAGAAAGAAAGAAAGAAGGAAAGAAAGAAAGAAAGAGGGAGAGAAAGAAAGAAAAGAAACAAAGGAAAATGAGCCATTCAGAGGAAGACATTCCAGAGGAAGACAGGCACAGTGCCATCTAGGTCAGTATAAATGGGCTCTGGGCATGGGAGGTTCAAGACTCCTTTCTTCCAGGGCACAACTGTGTAGATAGGTAAAGGCCTTAAATCATGAGCTGGGTGGTGGTGGCGCACACCTTTAATCCCAGCACTCGGGAGGCAGAGGCAGGTGGTTCTCTGAGTTTGAGACCAGCCTGGTCTACAAGAACTAGTACCAGGACAGTCTCCAAAGCTACAGAGAAACCCTGTCTCAAAAACAAAAACCAAAAAAACGGCCTTGAATCATCTCCATGCTGGGCCCTTTGAGGTACGTACAGTCCTGCCCAGCTATGACACACTGGATATTCTGATGATACTGAAAAGAGTCTCGTAGTAGGCAGGTGGCAGAGAATACCTTGGCCAGGGAGCTGAAGCCTTCTTACGGAGTTAGTGGCCTTTCTAAGCCCCATGTACACCCAAAAGCAGCTGGCCAAGCCTTAGAGGTGCCCGTGACTGCCTAGAGAATAAGTGCAGCACAGCATTACACAGAGCAAAGCTTCAGTTCCAGTGGAATCCCTATCAGTCACAGGCTGCCGTAATCTTTCAGTCTTGACCATAGATGCTCCATTTTCATAAATACCCCATGTCCTGCACACAGGGCAGGTGGGGGTTACATGTGGGGTCTAGGTCTGACCTGGGAAAGCCAAGAGGCTTTGTGTAAGCCTGGAGCACTGGATCCTTTAGGGTAATGCCTTCCTAGAGGTAGATGCTGAGTGCTACACCAACCTCACCTGCCAGACTGCTCCTGAGAAGCGGTTGTTTTAGAAAGTTTGTCATAGCTATTAAAAAAAGCTGAGATTCTGGAGCCCTGTGGTCTTTTTTCTTTCCTTGATGCAACTGTCTGAACTGGCCATGCTGAGTAAGGGCAGAGACATGAGTGCAGTGGTGGGGGTACCCTAGCCTTGAGGCCTTTATAACCCTCAAGTTATTAAATATTCACAAACTCTGACTCTAGCAGGCTTCTCCTGGCCATGACCACAAAGGACACCTGAGTCATTACATTAGGACAAGATTCTTCCAACACTGAGAGTAGCAGCCTAGTTGAACTTCAACTTGTGAGTGCTCACAGTGATCAGACTTCTGTACCCATTTCTAGCTACAGCTAGACAGATAAAGGGAGTGATACAGGCCACAATAAGCAGAACTGAGAATGCCTCTAGGTGGTCAAGGCAGGGCCAAGCCCTGGTTCCTGCCCTATCTGACCTAATATATGTGCAAGGAAGAGCTGCAATGGGAATTCAGTCCACAGTTCTCTACTTAGAAATCTCAAAGAGAGAGGTTGTGTGACCATACAAAGAGACTGGAAAGGGCAGTTGAGAAAATCAAACTCCCTTCTGAGGAAATTCCTACCTAAAGCACCCATACTGACTCAGTATTCAGTATAGCCAACACTGATGGGAAAAGAACAGACAACCAGAGGCACCAGTGGGTCAAAGGAAGGCCTTGTAGCAACAAGGCACCCTCTATGGGTTCTGAAAACATGACGATGGAGGGAAATTAAGTACATGCCTATATACAGAAGCAGCTGAAAGGAATCACAGAAAGATCCCATAGAGGCAGCCACATCAGGGCCTGGGAACTAAAGGTGGTATAACTGTACCACCAACTGGGGCAAGGGGAGCTTGTAAGGACATCCCCTGTGTCAAATAAAGTGGTGAGAGTGAGAAGAGGCCTAGCTTAGACATCTCATTCTCAGTTTACAGACAAAATAACAGGCCATGTACAATAGTGTTCTCAAGAATTAGGCCAACCAAACACTGCCGGGCTATACAAAGTAAAGTAACCATCAGCTTGGCAACAGGAGACTTGGGTCACCTGAGCCAACTGTAGGATGGGCTCTTTTTTTTTTTTTAGGATGGGCTTCTTACAGACAGACCCTGTCTACAGCATCCACCCAGAAATCTGAGTGTGGCTTTTATCTTACTCCTTTTGCCAAAGTAAGTTCCAGCTGGATCAGACTTATGATATAAAAAATGCAAACACAAAGATATTAAAGCCTGGAGTGATGGTACACACCTCTAATTCTAGCACTCATGAGGAGGAAACAGGAGGATTAAAAGTTCAAGTACACAGTAAGACCTTGGTTTTTTGTTTGTTTGTTTTTCGGTTTTTTTTTTTTTTTTTTTCGAGACAGTTTCTCTGTGGCTTTGGAGCCTGTCCTGGAACTAGCTCTTGGAAACCAGGCTGGCATCAAACTCACAGAGATTCACCTGCCTCTGCCTCCTGACTCCCCTCCACAATCTGGACACAGAAAAGAACTTTATGAACAATGCTACCAACCTCAAAAGCTGTAAAATGGCCAGACTAAGTGGGACTGGCACATGACTGCTAGTTTGGTATTGCTTCCTTGCTTTCTTGCCTCCCTCCCTTTTCTCCTTTTCCTCCTCTTCTTGAAACATGGTCTTACCACATAGCCTAACTGGCCTGGAATTTGCTATACAGAAAATGCTGGCCTTGAACTCAGAGATCCATTGGCCTCTGCCTCCAAAGTATGAAAGTAAAGGTGTGTGCCACACCTGGTATGCTTCTTTTTGTCTCTAAGACTTACACCTACCTGCCTACCTATCTACCACGTGTGTGTGTGTTCGCATGAGCACTTGTGCGTGCATGTGTGTAAGGTGATATTGTGTTTGACCTGTGGAGGTCAGAAGAGAATACAGATCCCCTGGAGTTACAGAAGCTGCCTGAAATGGGGGCTGGAAACTGAACTCGGGTATCTCTTAACCACTATAGCCATGGCTGGGCTTGAATTCACCATCTTCCTGCTTCACCCTCCTGAGTACTACAATAGCTTTATATTATTAAGGAAGAAAACAAAACTCCACCAACAGCAAAAGGGAAGAAACACAACACAGACATACAAAGGATGTCTGCTCCACTAAGATAGAAGAAAGCACGTCTGACTTTCCTCCTTGGAAAAGCTATGGCTAATTCAAACATGGAGACTGAATAGGCAGCACCTTACAGGAGTCTCGGCAGGTGGATGGTAGCCACACTGGATATCCAGGCTATCTCTAGAGACAAGGGAATAAACTAAGTTGGGACCTCATCAGGAAAGTTGACAGCTACTACCCAAGAGTAAGGAAGACCAAATGCAGACACCCTCAAATAACACCTTGTCAAACTGCAGAGAACACTGACCCACCATGCTGAGGCTGGCCTGCTCTGGTCCTTGACTGGATTCCTGCCTCCACCAGAGATGTCACTGTGCCTGCATCCTTTCTCTCAACAGAGCCAATGGTGCAGCCTCGGGAGTATAGAAGGGGTGTGGGTATGGGAGGGCTGGAAGAACCCATTAGCACTAAGTATCCAACTGCTTTCTGGAGATGGAGTAGATCCTGCTGCTGCCAGAAGCCTCTTAGCTCTGGGACCAAGAAATAGGGGTGGGAGGTCAGGACACCCACATCTGGATCAGATGGGCTTGTTAGCACTCAGCACACAGTGGGACAAGTGTGGCTCCTGAAGCTCTGGTTGTAAACAACAGCCAAGATGGGGGCCTAGTCCTTTGCTGGCTTCTCCCCAGTCCAAGGGCAGGACAGTACCTCTTCCCCATGCTTGTCTCAGGGTCAGCATCACTCCTGCTAGCTGATCTTTTCCTCCGTGACAACTTCTTGGTGCTGGTACACTCTGAGAGCTGTGAGTCCTCTCTGGATGGGCTGTCCCCACCCTTGCTGTTAAGGTCCCGCAATACACTGTAGTTGATCTTGCTGGAGATTTTCTTCTGTTCCAGCATCTTTTCAATAGCCTCTCCAGCTGTGCTGGCCAGGATTGGCTCCCGGCGTTTGCAAGATTTCTTGGGCTGAATGAAACACACAAAAAACTCCTATCATATGCTAGCTTCACACCTGCCATCTACCCTTGAGCCACAGCTGTTGCCCATCTGGAGGGGCACAGAAAATTGGCTTGGATCTATCTTGGCAACTCCCAGCTCTGACACTGGTTACCTCAGTTCCTGAATATCTATGCTTCCTAGAAAAGTCTTTCTTGTCTACAGAAAAGGAAAGTACCTCATACAGCATGGAATTTGGGACCCACTTCGCTGCCCAAGTCTCTAGTCTTCCTTTGAGGCAAGTACCACTCACTCTCTGAGCCCCCACCCTAGACCCCGGGTTTTGCCAGCGTCACATCTTCTCACTTGGTTCTTAAAATGTTCAGCAACTTACACTTAGGAGGCTGAAACCCCAGAGGGAGCAGCTGAGCCAAGTTACCAAGACCGTCTACCTGTTATCAAAGAATATAGGAACAAAGACAGGGTCTCTCATGTCCTCAACAAGGACCTGAAGCCCATGAAATAATCTGAGTCCAGGCCTACATCTCAATTTGGTCTCCTTAGCTCCTGCGTAGGATATCTCACTGTAAATATCCTACATACATAGGTACAACCATCTATGATGGACCAAGCAATAATAATAATAACCTGGCAGCCAGGGATGTGGGTCCTATGGCTTCCACTGCCTGTCCCAGTCAGGCTCCTATGGACACAGGGGAGAGGTGTTCCCCAAATGGTTTCCTCCTGTCAGCCAACACTAAGGCTGAGTTAGGCAGTCCTGTCAAGAGGTACCCACCTTGTGCTCCTTATAGATACCAAGCTCCTTTTCCTTTGCTATTCTTGCTTCTTTCTCTGTAAGATGAAAAAACAGTGGGCCTCACTCAGCAAGGGACATATCCTGGGACCTGGGCAGAGTACTTGGATGTGTACTTACCCCTCTGCTCCCGCAGGTACTCAGCATTCTCACGCATCCACAACTCAGCTTTTACCCGGGCTTCTGACTCGTTCAGGATGTACTGTGGGAAGCACAGTGAAGCGACTTCAGATCTTTGAGGTTGAGTTCTGACGTATGCCAAGATCTCTCAGCAATTAGCTTCCTATTTATATGTTTAAATTGCTGAAGAAAGGATGTGGGAAGGCCTTCCTTCAGCACAGAAACCTGTCAGTCCTTTGTCCTCCTCTGCCAACTTTACCCTGCAGCCATAAGCCAGTATTTGTAGTTCCTAGGCCTTGTTAGATCTCTAAGATACACAGCCAAGTGTTAGTGTATAGTCTAGGGCCCCTGGGATTTGGGGATTAGAGATATACAATATATTTGTGATGCAATGGGAGCCAAGGCCAGGTGCAGAGCTCAGGGCCTTCCCAACATGGTCCTGGTTGGGTTGTTTGGGGTTTCAGAGGAAGGGCACATGACAACTGAGGCTGCTTGGAACAGAGCTTTGAGGAGGGAGTCCAAGGGTCATGTCTGAATCATAGGCACTACAACTTGAGACCACTCACCTATTACGGAATGTCTGAGAAAGTCACAAGGCTCAGAGAGGCTAAAGGTGAATGACAGGCCTTGAACCTAGTTCAACCACACTTTACCCTCCATAAGTCTCAACCACCACTGGGGACAAGAGGAGTCAAAGGGCTTACTCTGTCAATTTCAAGGTCATCGATGCCACTGAGGTCCAGCTCCCCGTCTCCTGAAGTATCTTCTAGAGAGAAGAACCCATCAGTGTCACAGGCTGCCCTAGCAGATACTGCTCACCATGGGGATGCTTTGGACTCAGGGAGTAAGAGCTGGGGCAAATGGGCTGCAAGAATCTCCATTGAGAGAATGTCACCTTAACACTTGACCATCAAGAAAGAAACCAGGAGAAAAAAAAAAAAGGCCAAGAGGTGGTGGAGCACACCTTTAATCCCAGCATTCAAGAAGCAGAAGCAGCTGGATCTCTGTGAGTTCGAGGCTGGCCTGGTCTACAGAGTGAGTTCCAGGACAGCTAAAACTATTTGTTACATAGAGAAAAGAGAAACCCTGTCTAGAAAGAAGAAGGAGAAGAAAGAGGAGGAGGAGGAGGAAAAGAAGAAGAAAGAAAACAGGTACAGGGAATATTTCCTGCATCCTCAACAAGAAAATTAAGCTCAAGGACTAGGTGAAGAGCTGCTAAGAAAGGTCTACCGTGGAATCCAGCAGACCACTGGATTCTTCACCTGTATCTTACTCTTCTAGATGCCAGGCAACCCCTTCACCACCCCACCTTCACCCACCTAATGGCCCACATAGTTGGGAATTTTGAGGTGTTGTCTTCATCTCTTAAGGCTGAAACCCTGGGGTAATTCATTAGTGGTCAGACCACCCACCCCTCGAGGCTCTCTGCAGTCTGCCCCACTTCCCATGCTTTCTGCTCTGGGTTCCCTATGCTCAGGTTGACAAGTACCTTTGTATTGCTCTGAATTACCTGCTCCCTCAAAGCAGATACTTAACTGTCCTCTACATACTTGGTCCACAGGTGAAGCATTTTGCCTCCCCAACTTAGGTCTACCCCTCATATAGCCCCATTTCTCAACTGTTCCACCCATTTGAGAGGCCCTACCCTCTAGCAAAGGTCAAATCTTCACCTGATCAGGAGAGCAGAGCAAGATTACAGGGATAGGACCGGTTACCCTTCCAGAGCCACTGGTGTCTCCTGGCCCTTCTTCATATTTATTTATTTACTAGAATTTATTTTGTGTGTATGAATGTTTTACTTGCACATGTGCCTTTGTATTTCCTCAAGAAGTCAAAAGAGGGCGTCAGATCCCCTGGGATTACAGCCACCACGTGGGTACTGGGAATCAAACCTCAGTCCTTTGAAAGGGCAAGACAGTGCTCTTAACCTCAGAGCCATTACTCTAGCCTTCTTCCCTGTTTTAAAGGTGAGGACAAGAAGCTTCAGGTGTCTGGCACTGTTGGGAGCAGGGGCAATTGTTGGTTAGTGTGTTTCTCCTCTGTACATGCTCAATCTCAGCACTGACAGTGAAGATGCACCTTAACTCCAGTAAACAGGGAAGAATCAGGAATGAGCTGGCTCCCCCACTCTTGCATGACTTAAGGCTCTACCAGACCTTCTCTCAGTCATTTGGTAGCTACTGGAACTCAGGACCCATGCCATAAGCTGGCCAGCCAAAGCAGCTGGACTAGAGGGAGCCTACAATGGTAATAGGCCAGGGGGCACATACCCAGCTTTTTACCCTGTGTGATGGTTAGTTTTAGATGACAACTTGTCACACAATTGAGAGTCACCTGGGAAGAGAGTCTCAGTTGAAACATCTTTATCAGGTGTGCCTGTAGGCAAGTCTGTGGAGCACTGTCTTGATTGTTAATTGATGTACAAAGACACAGTTCATTATGGTGGCAGCATTCCCCAGGTAGGGGGTCCTAAACTAGGAAAGACAGGAGAAAGCTAGATAGAAGCAAACCAAGCAACGATGTGTTTCGTTTTTGTTTTTTTTTTTTTTCCTTTTTGCTACTGACTATGGATGTGATGTGATTAGTTGTCTGAGTTCCTGCCTTGACTTCCCTGAAATGGTCAAGTGTAACCTGGAATTGTAAGTCACACTGTTCCCCACAGTTGATTTTGACAGGATATTCATCACAGCAAGATAAATGAAACTAGCACACCCAGGGACTGTTGACTACTGTGCGTGCAGGGGCCTAGCAGCGCCTCATCCAAACCCATAATTATGGTCCAATCCACAGTGGGGACCCTTCAGACTATAAACTTCCCCTGTCCCAGGGCACTCACTGAGGTCCCCACTTGGGGAGGAGATGCACTCTCGGATGGAATCGGAGATGCCCAGGCTGGCTGCTGTGGGCAATGGGCCAAGTAAGGACTCCAGGGCGAGGGGCCGGCTGCCCCCATCAGGACCTTGTGCTGCTTCTGAGCTGTGGTCATTCCCCAAAAGCTCTCGGTAAAAGTCCTTGTTCATGTGGCTCGCAGCAGCCTCCAGCTCTTCATCCTCCGTGTCTTCCTCACAGAATGGGCTGGATGTGGCGTCCTCACCGGAGCCTAGGGACACACGATTCGCACACCACCTGTCAACCAGGCAGAAAGCCAGAGAGAGCCCACTTTTGTAACAGAAACATTTTTTGCAAAGCTGCAAAATAACCAAGAATACAAAAACTACCAAAAAGCATGCCTTTTTCTACAGCAGAGAAAGCATGGTCCTGCCAGCAAATGGTGTTGGTTGCCCACGTGCAAGAATGGCCTGGCTTATTACTCATGCTCTGTGCAAAAGCTGACTTAAATGTGGTATCTGAGAGCATAAGAACATTCAGGAAAGATAAAGCTTGTGATTTAGGTTTAGGCAAAAATACCTTCAACAACACTAAAGCAGATAAAAAAAATTTTGAAATAATTATGATTTTTTAAAAAAAGAATTATAATGTCTGTCCTGTGAAATATACTGTCAAGACAAAGGTAAGGCTGTAGTGTCTTCTTAGATAATGTCTGAAAGGACAGTCTAGAACATGTAAAGAGCGCCAATGCTCAGAAAACACAGAAGCCAAATAAAAAGACCTGCCAGTATAGAGAACACATGAGGGGCACAACAGCAGGAGACAGCACAGCCATGGAGTCCTGAAAGGCACTCCAACTAGACCAATCAGAACATGAGAGCTGTACTGTATGGTTTCAGTCGGCTGAGAAATCACGCTGGTGACCTCATCAGAGAGGATGGAGAGAAGACAGAGGGATTGGCCTCATACATGCTGACAGTGGAAGAATAGTGGTGACTGCTGTGCAAACTGTTTGCCAGCATCACCTCCCAGACCCAGCAATTCCACTCTGCTCAATATAAGGGAGATCAATATCAACAGGGACTGCATACAGGTTTATCTGGAACTAATCCGAATGCACTCAACAGGAATGGTAAGCACTTCACTGCACTTTCAGCAACTACACAATACAAGGACCATGCTATCAGTGGGCAACATAAAAGTAATGCTGAGGAAAGACAAAGGCACACACTATGTCTATAAAAGACTTCCATACAAACAAATGATAAATGGGCTGCCAAAGAAATCAGAGAAACATCACCCTTCACAATAGCCACAAATAAGCATAAAATATCTCGGAGTAACTCTAACCAAACAAGTGGAATACCTGTATGACAAGAACTTTAAATCATTGGAGAAAGAAATTGAAGAAGACACCAGAAAGTGGAAAGATCTCCCATGCTCTTAGGAAGACAGAATTAATATAGTAAAAATGGCAATCTTACCAAAAGCAATCTACAGATTCAATGCAATGCCCAGCAAAATCCCAGCAAAATTCTTCACAGACCTCGAAAGAAACAGTACTCAACTTCATGTGGAAAAGCAAAAAACCCAAGATAGCCAAAACAATCCTGTACAATAAAAGAACTTCTGGGGGCATCATAATCCCTGACTTCAAACTCTACTACAGAGCTACAGTACTGAAAACAGCCTAGTATTGGCATAAAAGCAGACAGGAGGACCAATGGAACTGAATAGAAGACACAGATATTAATCCACACACCTTCAAACACCTGATTTTTGACAAAGAAGCAAAAAATATCAAATGGAAAAAAGAAAGCATCTTTAACAAATGGTGTTGGCATAACTGGATATCAACATGTAGAAGAATGAAAATAGATCCATAACTAGCACCATGCACAAAACTCAGGTCCAAATGGATCAAAGACCTCAACATAAAGCCAGTCACACTGAACCTTATATAAGAAAAAGTGGGAAATACACTTGAACACACTGACACAGGAGACCACTTCCTAAATATAACCCCAGCAGCGCAGACACTGAGAGAAACAATTAATAAATGGGACCTCCTGAAACTGAAAAGCTTCTGTAAAGCAAAGGACACGGTCAACAAGACAAAATAACAGCTTACAGAATGGGAAAAGATCTTCACTAACCCCATATCAGACAGAGGTCTGATCTCCAAAATATACAAAGAACTCAAGAAATTGGACACCAAAAGATCACATAATCCAATTAAAAAAAAAAAATGGAGGCCAGATCTAAACAGAGAACTGTCAACAGAGGAATCTAAAATGGCTGAAAGATACTTAAGGAAATGTTCAACATCCTTACTCATGAGAGAAATGCAAATCAAAACAACTCTGAGATTCCATCTTACACCTGAAAGAATGGCCAAGATCAAAAACACTGATGACAACGTATGCTGGAGAGGTTGGGGAAAAGGGAACACTCCTGCACTGCTGGTGGGAATGCAAGCTGATACAGCCCCTTTGGATGTCAGTGTGGCGATTTATCAGAAAATTAGGAAACAACCTTCATCAAGACCCAGCAATACCACTTTTGGGTATATATCCAAAGGATGCTCAATTGTGCCACAAGGACATGTGCTCAACTATGTTCATAACAGCATTGTTTGTCATGGCCATAACCTGGAAACAACCTAAATGACCCTTAACCAAGGAATGGATAAGGAAAATGTGGTACATTTACACAATTGAGTACTACATAGCAAAAAAACAAAAACAAAAAAAACCAAAAAAGAAAACAAAAACAAAAAACCACAACATCTTGAATTTTGCAGGCAAATGGATGGAGCTAGAAAACATCATTTTAAGTGAGGTAACCCAGACACAGAAAGACAATTATCACACATACTCACTCATTAGTGGTTTTTAAACACATACTCACTCATTAGTGGTTTTTAAACATAAAGCAAAGAAAAACAGCCCACAAATCACAATCCCAGAAAACCTAGTCAACAGTGAGGACCCTAAGATCTAATCTACATGGGTAGTAGAAAAAGACAAAACTCCTGAGTAAATTGGGAGCATGGGGACCTTGGGAGGAGGTTGAAGGGGAGGGGAGAGGCAGGGAAGGGAGCAGAAAAAAATGTAGAGCTCAATAAAAATCAATAAAAAAAAGATTTATATACAAAAGCCTAGAAAAGATCACTAATTCAGTGACAGAAAGCAACCAGTGGTAGTAGGCGAGTAACCTGGAGTAGGCGAGAAGGGTGGAATTGCCATTACAAAGCACAAAACGACAGAAGCGGTGACGGCTCCAGTGTCACAGTGACTGAGGGGCTGGCTTCTCCCTACACCACACATGTCCATAGGCAAAGCTCAAAAGCTAAAGGCACTTTAGAACCAAACACAGTCTGTAGCATTTGCATTATATATTCTGATATTTGATCTGAAAGTCACACCTCTGCCCCCAGCCTGTACAATCTGACCCAGAATACCCTGCCTGTGTCCAGTTTCTTTCTGCTGTGCTCCAAAGCCAGAATGTGTAGGAAAGGAACAGATAAAGTTTGAGAAAAAGTAATAAAAATATTACACAAAAGACATGAGGAAAAACAGCTAAAACCAAGAAAACGCTACCAAAAAGGCTTACTTCAAACCACTAAAGGGAAAAAGGATGCTCCAGATTGAATCAAGCCACCAAACACGGTCTCTGCTGTGTTGGAGTTCTCCAGGTAGACATAAAGTGAAAGAGAAGGACAAGCAGAGACTTAGTGACACCAGGGCCTATGTGTGCCCCAAGGGACAGGCCTCTAGGCTTGAGGATGGCTAAGTGCCCTGGTAGAGGATAAGTCTTAGAATCACAGCAAGGCAGCAGCCATCTCTCTGTATACAAGGGAGCCACTGGGGGAAATCACAGTGAGGGAAGACCAGAGCTCTGAAGAAGAGCCACCATGTGGCAGGTTCTCAATATCTATTAATAGTGAAAGTGGGACATGTCATCTCACCTCTGTGCCCATGACACAAGGTGCCTCCCTGCAGGGTCTACGGATACTTCATGCCTAAGTACCAAGTAGGAACATACCAACAATATTTCCTGATTACTGCACAATACAAGCAGCAGTTAGCACCCATGTCAGAACACACCTTACCCCCAGAATTTCCATAGCTCCCTCACATGTGGAAGAGAGGAAATACCTTGAGGCTAAGAAACTGCAAACATGAAAATTCTCACAGAAGTTCAGTGTCCCAGTCAGCAGACTCAGAACAGAGAAGTCAGGCAGGTGACCTGGAAGGATGAAGCCAGGCAGGAGTAAGTGACCTAGTAAACAGGAGGCAGCAGGCTGTGTACATGCAAAGGACGGCTAGAAAATGAGACCAAGTTAAGAAAAGATCACAAAGAAAATCACTACACAGAGACATCAAAAGCAGCAAACAACTCTGTGAACAGACAGGGCCAAAGCCTTGGATGGGAATGAGTGCAGCGGCCACTGAGGCTCAAATGTTGCCTTCCAAGAACAGGGAACCCAATGGTGTGACTGTCAGGACACTGGATCACATTCACCCATTGTAAGAACTCCTGTGGTCTCCACAGATACTGAAATCCTCTGGAACTCTCATTTGCAGGGAGATAGGAAAACCCTTGATGGCAATGAGTAAGCATTTACTCACCATGACAGATACGAGAACAACCAGCTCAGTACACGCACACTAGTCCATGGGGCTGGAGTGAGGACATACGGCTGTCACCAAGATCAGCAAGATGCTGCAGGGCCAGGTAGACTCAAGAAAGAAATTAAGAGCTGGTACAGAACAGCAGTAGAATCACTATGTGTAGCTGACAGAATCAAGTACTAGGAAAATCCAATGACAAAATGACTGAAAACTAGTATGAGTGACAAGAGAGTTCACACTGCACAGGAATGGTCAGCACACAGAAGTCAGTGCTATTGCCAAGCGGCAAGCTGCCATGTGAACCAAAGGAGGAAAGAGACTGCTTGTAACAGCCACAAGTGAGGCAGACTGGGGGGTTGAGAAGGGTGGTTAGATGACACTAATGTGGACACGGGACACAAGCAAACACTGAGGGGAAGCACAGTGCCAGCACGATGGGCAGAGAGCACAGCCGAGCAATCAGAGGGATGCCCAGAGTAGCTTCCCCAGACTACGTCCCAAGGAAGGAAGCAGACATATATACCTTTATTCTGAACAGCCCAGAAGAGAACTAATCGTTAGCAACACAAACGATTACAGCAGCTCTGAAAAAAAGTCCACACTGGGATATGTGTTTCAACAGGGGCAGACAGCACAGGGGCATGAGTAAGAGCCATGGCCTTGCAAACAGCTCAAATGACCAGCAGGGCTCCCAGTGCCACACATGCAGGGCTGTGGACAGATGGAGAAGAGTGTCCTGGCAGTAACATGATATGCAATTCTGTGCTTCAGTGCAGGGAATGACAAGCAGATTGGGGTGGGGTCAAGTACCAGTGAGTAGGGCAGGTCAGGGCTGCTGGCCTAGGGCCCTCAATGCCCTTAATGGCAGGGAGGACTCACCATCCTTTGACAAGTTGGCAAGAGCCCCTTTTGCCTTTGGCCGGCTGTTTTCTAGCTCAATTTCAATAGCATCCTGGTAACTGGATATTTCACCTAAAGTAACAAGTTAAGAGCAAAAAATAAGCACAATGATTTTCTACCAAAAAGGAAGCACATGTGTGAGAACTGGTTGGTTACCTTCAACTTCTTCTAGCTTTTTCGACAGGACCTGTTCCAGCTGAAAGACAAAGGGGTCTTTGGTAAAGAGTCAAAGCTCAAGGCCTCATTGTTGACAAGGCTGTGGGATGATCAAATTGGAGCTGTAGACCTGCCCTCTCCTTTCAAACAGGCATGTAGGTATTTAGAAAGCAGCCATTTAGGTATTTAGAAAGCAGTATTTAGAAAGGCTGCTTTCTAAATACTTAAAAACGTAGAACCTCAACATCCCACCCAAGCCAACTTGACCAGAAAGGTCAGGTCTGTCCAATGTGCAGAATGTATCCTTGAGTTACCCAAAACTCAGCTGCAACCCAGCTCTGGCCCTCCGCCCTCCGTGTTGACTGCAGTCCTAGTATGAGCAGTCACAAGCTCAGCGATAATGAAAGGAAGTCTGGCTACAGTGGTGGCTGCCTTAGAAGACAAGGAATAAACCAGAACAAAGCTTAGCTGTGGGGACGGGCTCAATGGGCCAGGGATGAAAAGCTCATCATGAGCCCCAATGTGGACAGTGCTTGGAGGCTCTACACATGGCACATCCCTAAGACTCAAGGCCCAAGAAGACCAAGTTAGCAGCCCGAAGAGTCCAACAGATATGAGAATGTTAGAGAGCAAATCTTCCTAAAAAGCTCAAGTGTAATGGGAGGTATGGAGCCACCTGCTTCATGCGCAGCTTCCTCTGTCCAGCTGTGTACGAAGGAGGGTCACATTCCTCTTCCAGGTCAATCTTCATAAACTCATCAATGGTGAGCTGACTGGTTGGAGTGTCTTCAAATTCTGTGAGCCTAAAACAGAAAAGCAGAGAAAAGCCCATGGCACTCTCGCTACCTCCACATGCCCACCCCGGCTCTGGTGGAAGAGTCTCCAAGGGGAGGCCTGCCCACCCAACAGCTGAGCAGACTCTTCTGGGGCAGCCAACACAGTTTAAATCTTACCAACTTTTCTGCATTTCCTTACATTAAAAATGTTTAGTTCATTTACGTAGGGAGGGCACTCATGTATACAAGCATGCATACATGCCACAACACACAACTTGTGGGCTCAGTTCTCTCCTACTATGTGGTCAGCTTTGGCAGCAGAGGCAAGGCCTTGACTTGCTGTGTCATCTTGATCTCTCCATCTTCAGGTCTCACCTCCACAAGTACCGAGTATGAACACATACTGTTGGCTAATATTTGTTTACTTTGTTTTTTTATGTTTGTCTGTTGGTTGTTTGTTTTTTAAACAGTGAGTTTCATGTAGTCCAGGCTGGCTTCGAAATCGTCATGTAGCTGAGAATAACTTGAACTCTTGATCCTTCTGCCTCGAGGTACCTAGAGCTGCAGTTATAGAAGTGCTTGGCTACATTTTTATTGTTTGTTTGTTTATTTTTTGAGGCAGGGCTTTTATTTGTGTGTCCTGGAACTCTCTCTATATACCAGGCTGGCCTCAAATTCAGAGATCATCTGACTCTGCCTCTCAAGTGCTGGGATAAAAGGCATTCACTTACAATTCCTTAACATAACTTTTGATTGATTCTTTGGAAATTTCACATCATGCATCCCAACCCCACTCATTTCTCAGTCCCTCCATGTCTGTCCCTCATCTCCGTAGCATCCCCCCAAAAGAAAATTTTAAAAATTAATTAAAACCAAATCAAACAAACAAAAAACCCGCTTTGTTCCTTCATCTCTCCTGACTCTTGTGGAATCTGTGGTGTATCACACCACAGACCCTTTTGTTCACTCAGCTTTACTTGCCATGAGTTGTTGGTCTGACTCAAGGTCTCTGGCTTTTGCTACACAATCAATACTGGACTCTTGCAAAATTCCTCTGATATCCTACTGTCGCCCCAAGTCATGGAGATCTTGCAACTATGGCCACACAGGACCAGTTCCTTCACACACTCTGGCAGATCATAGACAGAGTAGATGTTGGGGTAGCCAACAAAAAAGTCCTGGCTGTAGGTCTGGGTGCTAGCTGATTTGGTTAGTACGGGCAGCTGGGACCTCCCCCCACCGCCTTAGGCAAGGTGAAGTCAGGTTTTCTATGCCCAGGGTGAGGAGTGGGGCCATCTCTCATGAGTGTGGGACCAGCTCTCCCATGAGGTGTGGGGACAGTTCTTCTGTTACAGTGGCCAGCAAGGGGTAGGATCATCTCTCCCAGAGCCAGTGAAGGGTGATGTCACTGAATGTTTAATAAAATAATAAAATAAAATAAGATAACAAGATGGATCAACATTTAAGATATTAGCTGCCGAGTCTGATGACATGATTTGAGCCCTGGCACCGCCACAGAAGGAGGAGAAACAGTTCTGGCAGTTTGTCTCTTGACCTCCACATGAATATGCACACATACACACTACATTTTAAAAATGTTTTAATTAAAAAAAAAAAGAGGCTGGATATGGAGACACAAGCCTTTATCTTAGCAGTTGGGAAGCTGAGACATAAGGATCTCTGTGAGTTCCAGGTAGGCCGGATTACAAAGAGAGAAACCTGTCTTACAAAAAAAAAAAAAAAAAAAAAAAAAATGTGAGCCTGGGTCAGCATATAAAATTGCTGCAGCTAAGTCTGATGACTTGAGTTCAATCACATAGCAGAAGGAGAGAACTGACCTCTCCCACATTATCCTCTGATCTCACCATTGTGTGCAGTGGCATGTGTACAGGCATGTGCACACATACACACAAATAAATGTAATAACTTTTAAAAAGTTATTATTATTATTTAAAAAGTTTTATTATTAGAGGCAAAATACTTAAACTGATTTTCCAATTTGCTTCCAGAAGATATTATAGCAGATGTTTTCAGCAGAAATGGTCAACAAGTGTTGAAATCTGTGATATGTATATCAGCAATGACAAGATTCCTAGCAATTCCTTGGCATGTTCATCTTGCTCAGGTTATCCAGATGAGCTGGGAGCAACTTGTTGGAAGCTGTGCACAGAGTCTGTGGCCCATGACAGATATGGTGAGGTTTAACTAACTCTAGCAAGAAGTCATGCAGGCTCTCAAAGCCCAGAATGAAACAAACCAAATGGAAAGAGGAAGTCTTTCCAAAGCAGCTTTGCTGTCCACTTCTAATCAGTGGGATGGGAAGCCTCCTTAATTACAGTCTACTAATCTCCGGAGACATTAGGATGGGAAGCTGGGTACTTCCAAAGGGCAGAGTAACCCAGGCAGTAGCAGCTCCAATACAGAGATGGGTGCAGTAGCCATCACACTGTGAACTAAAATGTTTACCTCTTCCGTAGTGTGGATTCACACACTTTGACCACACTGATGACTTCTTTGACGGTTCTCCGGAAGTCATGCATTCTGGCTGCAACCAAAAGTGCTAGGAAAGAAACGAGATCACCAGAAAACTCACACAGACATGAAAGCAAACAAAATACTCCCTTAACTCTGAATAGTGACAGCTGAACTGTGAGTGGGACATGTGTTTCCCTTCTCTAAACAGACCTATGACGCAGACACTCTATGGCAATAAGAGTCCCACTCTACAAAGTGACAGGGTGTTTGCCTACTCTAAACAGACCTATGATGCAGACACTCTATGGCAATAAGAGTCCCACTCTTATTTTGGGTTAAAACTGTACTACATTCTACTTTTAATAAGAAAAACAGAAAATGCAAGAATTTCTTATAACTCCTCAAAACATGAAAATTAACATTGAGGTAATGTATGTGAAACCCCAGGTTATGATGAGAGTAGAGGATTCTGAGAATGTAGTAACGCTGGAAAAGGCTGGGGCACGAGGCGCAAGACACCATCTGACAAGTGTGAATTATGGTAATAGTAAGCACGGGGCCCAAGAGTCTTTAGAGTAAATGTGGAAATCAGGTCTCAGATACAAGCAGTCTCAGGCAGCATTGCCCTAATGGGTGCAGAAGTGGTACCTGGCATGGCAGAGAGGTAGGAAGGTAGAGGCTACAGAAGGAACAGGCCCCTGATGGCCTGGAGCTCTTCCTGAGCAGGGGATTCTTGGTCTAGGCCACAGTCAGCACCTGAAGATCTTACAGGTGCAGCCAGAACAACTATGCCACTGGCTAGCAAAGACTCAGTGCCTCAGCTGAGAGGTCATCTCACTAACCATGCTTAGAGTGGCAACAATGTGCCATGAGTGGACAACGTAGAGTGGAACAAGAACTACCAACCGTCATTTCATCCTCTGAAGCCCTGTCTCTCATCTCAGAACCTGCAGAAGCCAACAAGGAAAAAGTGCCAGAGTCCTTGAGGAGTAAGAACCATGAAGGTCAGGTCAAAGGACACTGATCTTATGTAAGGTGGACTCTGGTACCATAAGCAATAACTCATGGGCTTGACTGTTCAAGGCTCAAAATAGATGACTAGGGTTCAACTTACCTACTATGCATAGGACCCTAAATTTGACTGCTAGTACCCTCCTACACACATGCATGCATGTGCTCATCAAGCATCAGGATAGAAAATGCTACCCAAGTGCTAGACTAAGCTGTCATCCTAGAGGCATACGGCCAATACTGTACCTGCTCCACAGAGCCCAGAGGGGCGCCGCCCTGTGTGCATCCAATCCCTCTTCATCCTCTGCAGAAGCCTCAGGGCTGTCATGGATACTTCATGGTTCTTCTCCCCAAATTCCAGTAGATGAGCAAAACGTGGAATGTACAAGCATGGGTCTATACAGTAGACACAATACCTTAGTGTGTATTCAGATATGTACATACAGCACTGAGCAATACCCTGCAACTTGGTGACTCTACCATGTACACAGGCTCTCTGAGGTCCCCTCCCCTGAAGCACAGCCTCTTTGACCTTAGCTGTGCAGCTGTGTTTACTACAGCCAGAGGAGAACTGCTGGCTTCACAGGGCACAAATCTGGGAATGTATGGCAATAGGGGTGGGGTACAACTTCCACCTTTTCTCAGAGGGTGACGAGAGGTCAAAGAGCAGGACAGGTGTGGACTCTTTACACACACACCACCTTCTGAATTTCCTGAGTGGCTGTGTCAGTTCAGTATCTAGCAAAATGAACGCAGTGGGCACACAAGTACACACATGTTTACATGTTCTTCTCCTAAGTGTCTGGCACTCTGCTAGGTACTGAAGTTTCAGTCAAAAATTTATGGAGCCCATGAATAGGGCAAGCAAGTAAAACCAAGTCACTTGATGAATTCAGCTCATTATTACCATACCATTAGGGCAAAGACACGACCTAGGGACCGAGGAGATCTTGGGACTTGTCCAGAAAGAACCGCTTATGGTCAGGGCTGAGAAGCAGGCAGCTTAGAGAACGCTAGCAGATAATAATGGAGGAGGATCAGAGAAGGTCTCAGAGAAACTGGGAGAGAATCAGTCAGTTCACCTCATCTTTCAAATGGCAGGAAGGACAGGGAAGGCAAAGGACATCAGCTATTGACTGATACCTAGCCCATCCTCCCAGGCAAACTGACCTTTACCAAGTAACTCCATGAGACCATACATACAAAGATCCAGTCCAGCTCACAAGAAGACTCAGAGAAGAAAGCTGAGTACAGTGTCTTATACCTGTAACCAAAGTAACTTGGAAGATGGATGGGGAGGACACTTAGGTTCAAGAATTTGAGGCTACCCTAAACAACACAGAGACTCCATTTCTTAAAAAGAAAAAAGAAAAAAAAAAAAACTGACCAACCGACCAACCAACCAAAAACCAGAAGGACTTAGCAAGAGTTTAAGAGGGCATTGAAGAAGGCCCTGAAGTAGTCTGAAACCTGGAAGGACTGGACAGATTCAAGTCACATTCACAGTAACCACCTGGCTATGTTGGGTACCAGTGTCCTTAGGTTGTGCTAAATTGTTGAGAATCCTAGCAGGTATCTTTAGTAAAAATTCAACAGTCTTGAGTTTTTTGAGACAGGGTTTCTCTGTATAACCCTGGCTGTCCTGAAACTCATTCTGTAGATCTGGTTCGCCTTAATCTCAAAAGTCTGCCTGCCTTTGCCTTCCGAGTGCTAGGATTAAAAGCATGTACCCAACTATAAGAGAAAAAATTTAAGATATATATAGATAGATATATAGATAGATAATTATTACATATATATATGTATGCACACACATATAATTGTTATGTTTCAGGCCTTGCGAATACAGCAATGAATAGACTTGATTTTTAAAAATGTTCTCAGGCCTGGAGTAGTAGTGTACGTCTTTAATCCCACCACCCAGAAAGCAGAGGCAGGTGAATTTCTTTAAGTTTCAGGCCAACCTGATCTACAGAGTAAAATCCTGTCTCAACATTCTAGACCCCCACTGTTCCATGCTAAATAGAAAGGATAGTGTACATGACACCAGATGCCTATAATCCAAGCTGCTAAAGAGGCTTCAGTACAAGGATGGTCAGTTAAAGCATGCCTGGGAGACATAGCAAGACCTCGTCTCTAAATAATAAACAAACGTTTTTTTTTTTTTTTTTTTTAAAAAAGGAAAAAGTCTAGACAACCTGACTGCAGTTTCCTGAATGGAAGGACAGGCCTGTGAGTAACAGGAGAACCAGTAACTCCACAGAAGATAAAGTAGTGGAGTCTGTGTGTACATGGGGAACGAGTTAGAGTCATACACAGCAAGAAGTGCTGGAAATAGAAAACTTTTAATACAGTTCCCTTGAATCTGAAGTCAGTCAGGAGAAAGGATTAAGGTGGGAGTCGTATCACTAGATTGCATTTACTAAATAGACTTTCAATTCTCTGTCTCACAAAGTAATCCTTTTGCAGAATCTGTGAACAGTTATGAAAATGGCATGTCTATTAATAAACAAAGACACTAAGACAGGCCTCATGACTCCCAGCACTCTGGAGGCAGAGGCAGATGGATCTGTGAGTATGAGGCCAATCTGGTCTATAAATTGAGTTCCAGTACAGCTAGTAGTGTTTCACAGAGAAACCGTGCCTCAAAAAACAGACAAACAAACAAACAAAAAACCCAAAAAAATCTGACACCTACTACCACGGCTTCTATATTTTGTTTGGTTTATGTACTTTTTAAAAATTTATTTATTTTTTATTTTTTATTTTTCATGGCCTCTATTAAAACTCAGAAAATTATAACAAATCTTGGCTAAGATGAAGAAAAAAGACCCTGTGCACATTGAAAGAATGGAAAATGTGTAGCCACTAAAAAACACCATTTCAAAGTTTCTTCAAAAAAGTGAATGAAGGGGACTAGAGAGAGGGTTCAGAACTTAAGAGCACTGGCTGTTTTCCCGGAGGTCCTAAGATCAATCCCCAGCAATCACAGGGTGGCTCACAAACCATCTATAATGAGAACTGTTCAGGCTTGCAGGCCTACGTGCAGGCAGAACACTGCAAACAAACAAATCTTGAAAAAGTAAACGAAGCTAGGTCGCAGTGGTGCATGCCTTTAATGTCAGCACTTTGGAGGCAGAAGAATCCAGATCTCTAAGTTCAAGGTCAGTCTGGTCAACAGAGTAAGTTTCAGGATAGCCAAGGTTACTCATAGAAACTCTGCTGGGTGTAGTGGTGGCAACCGGTGCTTTAATTACAGCACTAGGAGGCAGATCTCTGTGAGTTTAAGGCCAACCTGGTCTACAATAGCTAGTTCCAGGACAGGCTCCAAAGCTACAGAGAAACCTTGTCTCGAAAACAAAACAAACAAACAAACAAAAAGAAGAAGAAGCAGAAGAAGAAGAAGCAGAAGCAGAAGAAGAAGCAGCAGCAGAAGAAGCAGCAGCAGAAGAAGCAGAAGCAGAAGCAGAAGCAGAAGCAGAAGAAGAAGAAACTTTGTCTCAAAAGAACCAAACAAAACAAGAAAACAAAATCAACCACTACAACTAAAAACTTCTGAAGGACTGGCTATGACTCAATGGTTAGGAGAGCTCACTGCTCTTACAAAAGACCCGAGTTCGGTTCCCAGTACCCACATCTCATACACAGTTCACGACCATTTCTATCTCCAGTTTCAGGGGATTCAATATCCTCTTCTGGCCTTTGCAAACACTGGACACACATGTGGTGCACAGAGACTCATGCAAATAAAACATCTATACACATAAAATAAAAATATTTTTAAAAGGTAAATTAAGGATGACCATTTGTTTCAACCATCTCATTTCTAGGTAAAGACATAAAGAATTAGTTAGGATCTGGAAAGGATAATTGCCCAATAACAGTTGGGCTATGTAACCCACTTGGGTGTTCACCCATCAGTTGGATGAACTGGCAAACAAAATGCAACACAGTAGAATAATCAACTTATAAAGGAGGACCTACATAGGGAGTTTTAGGTCACCCTGGGCCATATAAAGTCCTGATTTAAAAAAGAAAAATTCTGACACACTACATACAATATGTATTGCCTTTGATTTTGTGCTCCACTAAAGAAGCAAGACATAAAAGGAGATCAAGCCTTGTTTCGGAGACTCATTTCTTCCATAAGGAAAGCTAGCTGTGTCAGGTTCCTTTACAAAAGTTGAGCTGCTGTGAACAACTATAGCGCAGACAAACCTGTGCACTGGGCGGGGCTATGGCACCCCACCGGAGGAGGGGCCTCAGCGTGAGCTGCGTCATGACGCACAGTGACGAGGGACGCCAGCGCCGCACAGGGTAGGGGTGGGACGGCGCCCCCTGCGGCCGGGCCGCGGGGCTCGGTGCGGGGTG